AATTGAACTTGCGACCAAAAGAAACGGGTAGCAGGGGAGTGGTACCGAAGCACACCACCCCTGCTAAAACCCCTTCTCCGTCGTCCCGCCTTCGCGTGTGCACCACTGTGAGATATTTTTAGGGAAATATTTGCATTTTACTGTAGAGGGAGATTTTATTCTGTAGTCCGAGATTTTATTTGAATTTTAGAGAAGCGCACGCGGACGGCCCGGCGGAATCCGGGCCGGATGCGTGGACGCTTCTGGAAGGAATTTCGTAGAAATAAAAGAGAGAGGGTGACGGGCGCTGCGGGGAATGGGGGACGACACTCGGCCAACCCTCACCACGAACGGCACGCTCCCCAGAAACGCCTCCCCCATTTTCACCGACAACATGGTACTCTTGTGGAGGGCCGACGCAGACACAAGTGCGGGCCCTAACCCTGTTACCTACGATGGGTCGAACGGGTCAGATGTTTCCAAGTTTCTGTTCGTATACGAGAACATCATTATGCGTGGCAAGCCTGACGAGGAGAAGGCAGGAGCTATCCTATGCCACCTCGAGGGTGCCGCGTTCGACTATTACTATGAAACGTATAGTCATAATGGGAGTCTGACCGAGGCCGCCAGTAACTGGGACGGTGTGAAGAGCGCCCTGTCTGACCGTTTTACGGAGGCACCGAGGCCAGAAGAAAACATCCAGAAGGCTATGAGTTGCCGACTGGATGGTGGGAACTTGCTTACTTCGATGGATGAAATGGACAAGCTCTACAGAAGGGCTGGTTTCAACGACGAGGCAAAGTACGGCTTGCTTCGCAATGCCGTAATGGCACATTTGGATGTTGCTCAGTTTGCGATCTATCGTTCTCCGACGACGTACGAAGAACTGATGAAGACCGTGAAGGACTTTGCTGCAGGCCGTGACGCCTTCAAGGCGGCGAAAACTGCTGCGCAGTCCGTTGAACCTGTGACGCCCAAACGCGTACTGGTGCGTTCTGATGTGGATCCTCGACAGGAAAAGCTGGAGAACAAGGTTGACGCCATCACCAACCAGCTGGCGGAACTGTCACTGATGATGAAGAAACGACAGACGCCAGGGGACAGTGATACGAGTTGGACATGTTCCTATTGCAAGGAACCAGGGCATTCAGCGACTCGTTGTCGTTCCAACCCACACCGTGATACTCGTTGCCCAACGTGTGGGAAGATTGGACACACGACGGAGACTTGCTGGTCCCGCTTGCTAGAAAGAATGTGGCTCATGCACGTCCTCAAGGTAACGCTGGCGCAGGAAGCGCTTATGGCCCCAAAGCAGGCGATTCTGCCAACGACGCCGGTGACAAGGCCACCAGAGACTCGAAGCAAGTCACGGTCATAACTGAGACCACCAAGGGAGAATTGGTGGCAGCTACGAAACGCAACGCCGAAGGAGAGGCCTTGCCGAAGCAGTCGAAGAACCGTGAAGAAGTTTCGATCCCGAGGCTGCTGAATCCCACTCCAGTAGCTCCTAGGGGAACTATCCCCTGGAATGAGCCGCTGAGAGTGCCGAGAGTGAAGCCTGCACGCCAGAAGAAGAAGAATGTTTCAAAGAAGGCGGCACTCCAGGAGCACGTTGGCAAGTACAACGTCGTGTCAGAGCTGGCGAATGCGCCGTCTGGTCTAACATTTGGACAAATTGTCCGTGGAGACGCTGAAGGAGCAAGGAAGGAGATGAAGCGCCTTCTATCCAGGAGATTGGGGCGTTCTCGCGGGTTTGCGGGCCACACGGATGTCTTCCCAGGCGTCTTCGGGTAGTTACTGTTCAAGTTTATGGAACTGATGCTCAAGCACTACTGGATTCGGGTGCGGTGCCGAACATCATGTCACCGCACCTCATGAAGAGACTTTCTCTGACGCCAGAAAGTACGAAGAAACACATCACTGTGGCAGATGGGAAGAGCTCCCCTTGTGTTGGATCACTGCGCCAGGTCCCCGTCTCCTTTGGGGGACTGGTGAGCATGATGGACTTCCTTGTCGTTACGGGAACACCGTACGACGTCATCGTGGGGATGCCGTCGTTAGAGGAGCTCTAAACGTGCATTGACTTGGGGCAACAGCATGTCCAAGTAACTGTGGGTGAGGAGACGATTCGACTAAGTCTTGAGATGGATGAAAACCATAAGAAGCCGGGATCCGCTACCGACAGTGAGGACTTCACCTCAGACTCGGGGGCCGTGCCGGCTGACTCGACTGACACAGATGAAGACTTCGTCCTTTCGCTGCGTGAAAGGGTGCCGTTTGAACCAGACCTTGCCTGGGCGGGAGCAGTCACTGAGGACGAAGATCCTCGTGCTGGACTTCCGGACCTAGCTGGGGAAGGCTCAGAGTACGAGCCGGCGGATGAGAAAGAGAAGAGACATGAGAAGGAGGAACTTCTCATGTCTAAGCTGAGCCATATCAGCAGAGAGAACGCCGACCGCATAATATGTTCTATCAAGAGTATGGGAATAGCTGCATGGACTTTGGACGACCTCAGGCCGGCAGATGTCCCTGTGTCACATTCTTTTGAGTTAAATGACGACAGACCCATTTCGCACGCCGTTCGGAGGCTCCCTCCGAGACACAACGCGGTAGTGCGCGAGGAGATCGAGAAGATGCAGAAGGCAGGGATCATTACCCCCTCTGTAGCTCCTTGGTCGTTTCCGGTCGTCATCGCAACGAAGAAGGACGGGAAACCTCGCTTCTGTGTTGACTACCGCGCGCTTAACCGGGTGATGAAGGCCGACAAGTGGCCGTTGCCCAAAATGGAAGAGATATTCGACGACCTTGAAGGAAGCAAAGTGTTCACTACCCTGGACTTGTTCTCAGGTTATTGGCAAGTGCGGATGGCTTCATGGTGCAAAGAACAGACGACGTTTGTCTGTCGGTACGGGACCTTTCAATTTGAAGTAATGCCATTCGGGCTCATGAACGCTCCTTCAACATTTCAAAGGATGATGGATGGCGTATTCAGAGACCTGCCATTCGTCCGAGTATACCTTGATGACGTGGTTATCTTTTCAAAGTCCTTGGACGTCCATGTTGACCATTTAATTGAAGTGTTCGAGCTGATTGCTCGCAGTGGATTGAAGTTGAAGCTTGCGAAGTGTTCCTTCGCGCAATCACAGACCAAGCTATTGGGGCACGTCATGGGAAAGAAGGGGATTGAGGTGGATCCAGAGAAGACATCGATCATTTGGGACACCCCCGAGCCGCGCACCAAGACGGAGTTACGAAGCTTCCTTGGGCTAGCGGGGTATTACCGCCGATTCATCCCTAAGTTCGCAGAAGTCTCTGCATCGTTGCATGCTGCTACTTCTACCAAAGTCGAATTTGAATTTACGGAAGAGATGCGGACCGGCTTCCAGGAGTTGAAGAAGAGGGTGACGTCTCCTCCGCTGTTGGCGCTCCCGAAGTTTGACGAACCCTTCGTGGTCGAGACAGATGCATCCAACGTGGCAGTGGGAGCAGTTCTGGCTCAGAAGAAGGAAGACAAGAAGGTTCACCCGATACAATACGCCAGCAGGACGATGACGGAGACTGAGAAGAAGTACTCCACCTGTGAGAGAGAAGCATTACCGGTGATCTTCGCGCTAAAGAAATTTCGGGTGTATTTGCTCTCAACGCAAAAGTTCAAGTTGATTACGGATCACCAAGCGCTTCAGTATGCGTTCAAAAAGAAGGACATCCACGGTAGACTTGCCCGTTGGATGGATTTCCTGGCGGAGTACGAATTCGAGATATTGTACCGCCCCGGCTCAAAGAATTGTGCCGCTGACTTTCTCTCGCGTCTACGAAAAGACGATGGCAGGCGCGAGGAGGATGAGGGGGACCTGGTATGTGCTGCCGCTTTTGCGAAAGGAGATATACTGGAAGACATGGAACCTCATGTGCGGGACACGTACCGTTATCTCGAAGGAGAAGAGATGGTCGAGCAAGATGCTGCGCAGAGGCGCAGAATCAAGAAGAACTCCAGGCGGTTCCTCGCCTGGAACGGAAGGCTGTTTCGCAGGATGAAGAATGGGATCAGAACAATCCCTTCTCGGGGGACTCGACTGCAGATATTGCGGTCGCTGCATGACGACATTGGCCACTGGGACGCTACAGCTACGAAGCAGTTCGTCCTTGACAGGTACTGGTGGCCGGGAG